AGAGGGAAGGAAAGAGGGACAGAGGCCAATCTTGCCTGCGGCACCCCTGAACATCATTCAAGGCACTCCAGGGTGCTACAGTACACTGGTTGAAAACCACTATATTAGAGGAAGGAAGCTACTGGACTTGAGAGAACTCCATGCATGCCTCAGAGCTCCTAACCTTGGAACACTGTGATATGAACATGTATTCATGATCTTGATAATCATGATCATTTCCCAAGAGTGAAATTTTTGGTCTCTTTTTATGGCAATGCATGGGCCAATTTATGTCGATTACAAACCTTCCACTATATCAGTTCCTCCTATATCCCCTATATCCCCCTCATACCCTGCAAAGTATAATAGAGGTAATAATTTATTATTTATTAAATTTCTATACTGCCCTTCATTTGAAGATCACTGTGATGAGATAGTAACTAGCTTGATAAGATCACCTAGCAAAAATCAGTCAGGCTGCATACATAACATACATTTAAAGCACATGACTTCCCCCAATGAATCACGTGAAATGATAAGGGTGCTGGGAATTGTAGCTCTGTGAGAGGTAAACTACAGTTCCTGGGATTCTCTGGGGAAACGGATGTGCTTTGAATGCATGGTGTGTACACAGCCTAGGTTTCAATGCAGTCCTTCTTAATTCAAGTCTCCACAATTGCTATTAACATATTAGGAAATCTGAGACCTTCAAGGCCAGGGGTGTGGGGTGAGCAGAGTTATGGTGGACTATTATCCCTCTACAGTATCCATTCTGGATCAGGCTGGCAGGGAGTTGGAGTCCAAAACCAGGAGAGCCACTCTTGCCCATCCATTATAAGCTGATGGAAACACTGTGCTGAATATGTCCTGTGGTGTCCACTTTCTGGTCAGAAATTATTGTTGGCAATAACTGTGTTTTAGAAAATTTATTCATATTTGTGAATGCTCACATACTCTTAAATTATATACCTGTGGTGTAGAGACTAATGAGTGGACAACAAAAGTGGACTTTATGAGCCCTTGTGGTGGCTAAGAAGGTGGCTTTACATTGCCACGCTGGAAGGACATCAGCAGATCTCACTGTCCTTTCCACATTTGAATGCATGGCTCATTTTTGTTTAATTTTTTAAACTGAAACAAATCAAATAAAATCAATACAATAAAAATAATAGAAGTACAAATACAAAAAACAAAGTGCTGTATATCCAGAAGAGACTTAAATCAGGTAAGTAGAGTACTTAACACCACCAGGAAAGCCCAATTTCACATTGTACAATGGATAAGGCATCCTGTGTCTTTGTATTTGTTGCCCAGTATTTAAGACAAAACCCCACCAAACAGCATAGAATTTTTCAGGATCCTCTGAGCCTTTGGCAAAATGTAATTTATGAGTTGCTGTTTTTCAGCTGCTGCTAAACTCCACATATCTGTATACCAAAGTGAAAGTTGCAAGTCCTGTGAGCTTTTCCATTTCTGGGCAATTGAAGTTCTGGCAGGCGTCAACATCAAGAATTCCTGAGAGCTGAAGCCTTTCAGTTGATCATCCCATAGATTTAGTAAACAAACCTGTGGTGAAATCGGACTGCGATATTTGAGTATTTTGCTCATCTCCTGACAAACCATTGTACAGAATTTGAATACCAGTGCTCACCAATATTTTCCTTCACCTAAACCTGCACTGTATCTGCCAAATGTGGAAGGAGAAAGGAAAACAAGAGCCACAGACAGCCATGAGCAAACCTTAGATCAGTGTGACATGGACCAAAGAAACACAAAACCTTGCCGGCTCCAAAGTAAATAAAAGAAGTTTACTTACATCAGTTCACAGTTGGGTTCCTGAAGGCAGACTTAGTTACAAATATGTATATGTGGATCTACCCCATATGGAGGAATAACCCCAGTGCTTCTGCTAGCTGAGAGCTAGCAGAGCAGTCCTAGCTAAAAGCTGGTCAAACGAAGAAGTAAAAAAAGAGAGAGGTTGCTGCATGACTCATCCTTTTGTTACCTGGACAGGTTAGGTCACGCTCCTGGTGGTTCTATCACATGCAAAAGGAAGGATGCTCCAGCCAGGAGGAACAGGAAGTTTCAACTGGCTGGACCAAACATTCCCTTGCATGTCTTCTCTAGCATTTCAAGGAATGTTGTATTGACTGCCTCTCATGGATCACATCCCACAAAGACTTCCCACTCAGACAGCATCTGAATGGTGAGGAAGAGGAGGCACAATGTCTATCTCACTGTTTTGCAGACAGCCCCAAAGGTGATCTCTAAGGCACTGGGCCAGATGCAAAAGGAGCTCCCCCTCTCACTGGAAATGCCAGGTGAGGGGCTTGTGTGTGATTCCTACAGTTGGAGTTAGTGTGGAACAGAAAGGTATATGATGAGAAGGAAGGGAAGGAAAAGACAAAGAATTTTTAGTGGGACAAATCAGCTCTTTACTTCTCCCTCAGTGAATTCAGGACACAAGACGACTAACACCAGGGATGTTTACAAAATCCTCCCTGTCTGAATTTCTCCAAGATCTCCAATTTACTTGGCTTTGTTTGCAGAGCAGCACTGATGCCTGAGGGATCTTTTGTCATTTCTCCATCTTGTTTTCCAGGCTTCGAGGGGTTTTCATTTCCTTCCACTTGTGACACTTGATGAAACAGGGCGAAAAAGGAACTGTGGTGCCCCTCTCTGGGGCTCTTTGAATTGTGTGTGCCCAGGAGACTATGTGCTCCTTCAAGCTGCGTTTCATCAGTGATCACTTATACACATCAGTAGAGGAGGGGAAGTCTTAAAAATGAAAAGAAATAGTACAGTATACTGTTCACGTAGCAGCTCTTGAATTAATTGCAGAAGGTCTCAATGTGAACAGAATGGTTGGCATAAAGAACCCACAGAATTAAAGCAGAATGGGAATCAAGGAAACCAACTGCTCTCTGTGTGACACCTTATCTACTACCCAAGTGCCTTGCCCATCACTACCGGGGCCATAGAACCTTCTCTACCAATTACATTCCTATGGTCTGAGTCGGCCTATCCTCAATGTGGCTCTGTGGTCTTAAACCCTTCACATGCTAATTCACAAGAATATGCATTTGATTTGACTGCAAATCAAATACCACAGATGCTGGTATCCTTTTAGAGTAGTGGTGGAAATCTCCGGGTGTGAGGAAACTGCCTTTTACTAAATCAGACCCATCACTCCATCTAGCTCAGTTCTATCTCCCCAGACTGACTGGGGTCTCTCCTAGCCTTATCTGGAAATGCTGTGGATTGAAACTGGGACCTTTGGTGTGCAAAGCGGGTGCCTCTGAGCTGCTGCGCTTCCCTGCAAGCAGGTGTTGCTGGATTGCAGCTCTCATCAGCCCCAGCCATCCTGACCAATGATCAGGGTGATGGGATTTGCAATCCAACATCTGGCTTTGGAGGATTAACAACATTTAAGACTTCCATCTTGATTTATGCTCATTTCTAGTGGAGAAAAAAATACAACAGAGAAGTACCACAAGAGTCAAGTGGTCTTCACACAATTTAAAAGGACATAGGACAGAGGAGCGCTGTTTAGGGAGGCTGAGGAGGCAGTCCAGTATCCCATAATTCAGTGGTGGCCCTTCAGGTGTTTTTGGACCTCAAACCCCATCAGCCCCTGTCAGGGTGGCTGGTGGACAGGAATTATGGGAACTGTAGCCCAACAACCTCTGGAGGGCCAGTATTTCTGCGCTGAAAGGTTTGCTATTTATGAGCTATCAAAAACAGAGAAAGAAAGAAACCTCATTTTAAACAGTTTAACCATGATTTTAAAAAAATTAATTCGCCAAACAGCAGCATAAAGAAAGAAACAACTGTCTCATCATCCCAAACACATATATCAATACACGTTTGCAAAGTCTTCCATTCCAACTCATACACGCACCACAAACAGATCAGACAGGACCAAAAACAAAAAGAAGAGGTGTGGGTATGAAAGGAAAACGCGAGCATATTCCTGTACAGACCTGAGGACTTGGCTGGGGCTCTGCACACATAACCCCCCCCCCCCCAAAAAAAAAATGGAACAGGGGGGCAGGGAGGTGGTGCCGGTCACCGGAGTCTGCGAAATCCTCCTTTCCTCTCTGTCTTTGCGCTAAGCTTTCCATCCGAGGGGCATCCGCGAACCAGCAGCCTGAGGTTGAGGCGGATCGTCTCCGTCTGCAGGAAGAGGAGAAAGTTCCGCTCGCTCTCCGTCGAGCCTCGTCGCCCCGGCTCACTTTCCCTTTCAGTTTCCCAGAGCCGTCGCGGCGAGGAATCGCTCTGGAAGGGAAATAACCCCCGCGCAACGGAGCGGACCCCGCCGCCTGCTGTATGCCTTGGCGCGGGCTTGAACTCTACGGGTCTTCGCCTGCCTCCTATGTCTGGTGGTAAAGAGAGAGGGAGAGACCCCAGATTTGATTTGGGTGGTTCGATTTCCGAGTCTTTCTTTGCGCGCTCTCCTTGTCAGAGAGAAAGGAAACGAGATTCGGATTTAGCGGCACCTCTTTTTACCGGGGCGTGTGCGCTACCGGAATCACACCTGTCTATGCTTCTAGTAAGTACACACATGCACCCCCGGCGACTGCGATCCTCTGCCCTGCACACTTTTATTCGGGGTGCGGGAGTAAGTTCCACTGGAATATAAAGCGCGCTTTCCTTCCGAGTAAGCCTGGAAGGATCCGGCGTCACGAGAGGGAGCCGGCAAAACAAAGCCGAGGAAGCCCGGCGGAATAAATCCGCAAGGAAATGCCTGAAATGGCACATTAAAGAGCAAAGCCCAACACAAAACCGCTTTTCTCTCCTGCCCGGGCCTGAAAAGGCACATTGTGGCGCTCGCTGGCAGCGGCTGCCTCCGCCTTGCTCCATGGTAACCTGCGCGCAGCAGCCGCGCGCCCCGCTCGACGCGCGCGCCCCTGACAGGTGTTTCCCGGGTATTTTGGTGGCGGGGGGGGGGGCGGCTGATCCCAGAATGCGGGGGGGGGGGAGGCGGGGCTTGCTCCGCTCAGAGGCAGCGAGGAGGCGGGGCCAGCGCTGAGTTCTTCCAACCTATCATCTCCTCCTCCTTCTGGGTTGGGGATTTTTGGGGGCTGGTGGGGGTGGCTTAGTAGGCCGGCTGGATTGTTAATCTGGGCAGCAGCCGGAGTCCTGGGAATCAATGGGAATCGACGCGCCGAGGTTTTACTACTACAGCAGCTCCTGGACTGGAGGAAGAAAGCGAGAGGCAGGGAAATAAACTAAAAGCAAAGCAGCAGCACCCCCCCCCGCCCAGGATCGCTCGCGCTCTGCGTTTCTCCGCGCTCCGCTCAGCACCCAGGGAATCGAGGAAGGGAGCCGAAGAAAGGCGGCCAGAGGGTGGACTAGGAGCCGGCGGAGAAGCGGACTCCGAGGAAGCGGCGGAAGAGGAGCTTTGCCCCGCTGGGGCGTTTGGCGTCTTCTGGCTTTCGGCTTGTTTTGCCCTTTTGAAAACTGTGGCAACAACTTTTGGGAGTTGCGGGTCACGGCTTCTGGGAAGGTCCTCCGGTCCAGAGCAGCAGGCCATGCCCAGCGCTTAAAAGGGGCGGCCGGGAGAGAAGACCTCGCCACCTGAGAGGGGCTCCCCTCGTCCTCGGCTTGGCGGGGGCCGAGCGCGCCTTCCGCGAGGGCGAGCCGAGAGGACGCTGCGCGCTTGCCATCGCGGGCGCTGAGCGGAGGGAGACGAGGCCGCCGCCTGGACCATGTAATTGGGGAGCCCAGGAGAGCGTCCTTCCGAGTCTCCTTCTTCCTTGTCCCTGCCAAAAAATAGCAGAAGATCAAAGCCCGACGATGACGAAGAAGCCGGCACGAAGAGTGCTCTGCTGGGTCAGCTTCTTCGCGATCGCCGGCACCTTCCGCCTCGGCGCTGCTCAGTCAGGTGCGCTCCGCTTCTGCCCCGCGGGTCGCGGCTCTCGCTCTGCTTCTTTCTAGGGTTCCTTTGGATCATTTCCCCGCGCCGATCCAGCCGAGGTTCCTTCCTTCCCCCGTTTTACATGTCCTCTGAAGATCGGCAGACTTTCCCTCCCTCTCTATAAATAAATCTTAGCGGCTTTTCATGCTCCCAGAAGGACACCCCTGGATAATATTTCAAACTGGGAGATTTGGTACAGGCAGCTAAAGCAAGTTGAGGGGGTGGTTTGCTTCTTTCCAGGGGCCGCTGCCACCTGCTTCCCTCTGCGGCGCTTTATTTGGGCGCGCGCGCTTGTGGTGCAGGATCCCGTTTTCTTTTAAAACGCACTGAAACGATTTGGTTCGAGACGGGCCTCTGGCTCGGATTCGGCTACAAGCAGAGGCTCCGGAGCAAGCGAGCTCTTGGAGCCGGGCGCCAGGGAGAAGGTGGCTCCAGTCCTTCTGTAGCCCTCGGCGGAGGGCGCTTCTGGCAAATGCGCGTCCGGCGCTGTCGAGGCTGGCAGGTGCCTCTCGCTTGTGGCCCCAGGGTGTGTGTGGCGGGGAGGGCTGGGGCCGGCTTTCTTCCAGCGGAACAGCAGCCCACCGGTTCTGGTTGCCCTCGGACAGGGCTGCGGAGGTGAACGGGGTCGTTTCTGGTTTCTGGACGGCGCTGAGTTGTCCGGGCAGGCGGGCTATCGGTTGGCTTGGAGAGGAGAGCCGGGAGGCGGGGAGGCTTCTTGGCACCCGAACGAAGGGGCATGATCCAACCCGGTCCCAGCACGTTCCACGCCTCCGTTGGTTTCCACAGGAAGGCTGGCAGGAGCCCCGTCCCCTCCGTTCCCCTGGAGCTGAGCGTGAGGGTTTAACTTTGGGTGGATCCTGCCCGAGGTGCCCTGCTTTGTTTGGTGTAAGGGTCCTCCGGGAGAGGGAGACGAAGCCCCCTTGTTTGCAGCTGCCACCTGGAGGAACGGGTACTGAATACAGATCGGGGCTTTTCCAGCTGGCTTATCCCCGCTCGGCGCCCCGGGCGCCTCTTGGAACAGGAGATCCTCCCTCCCTCCCTGCGCAGGAGCTTCTCCTTTCTGGGTGGCGGGCTTCGCTTGTGGGTCCTTCTCTTACTGACCCAGAGGCACGACCCCTCGCAGGTGGGTGGGGAGAGATCAGGGTCAGCCAGGTTTGCTTTCCGGGGAGGGCCGGGCAGGATCTGAGCGCAAAGTTGGACACACTTTGATCTCTCCTGCCGGGATGCTGTAGCCAGGAGCTGCTTCTCCCAACGGATCTTGTTTTCTTGGTAGTAAAGAGTCCAGAGAATTTCACTGGCGTTTACTTCCAAGAAAGGAGGCGAATTAGGATAAGTTACTGCTCCCAAGAATCTAGACCTTTGGGCACCAGGGTGACATAAACAGACAAAGCTTCGGAAGGTGGTGGACTCGCCTTCATTGGAGGTTTTGAAGCGCGGGGGGGGGGGGGGCATCTGCCATGGAAGCTTTAGCTGAGATTCCTGCGTTGCAGGGAGTTGGACTAGATGACCCTCGGTGTCCCTGCCAACTCTACAGTTCTGTGATTGTCCGCTAGCCCTCCTTGGCTTCTGTTGCGCTCGCAGGGCTGTTTGCTGGGCCGAATTCTATGGACTTTTCTTGCGTGTCGCTGCCACGCACGTTTTGCTGTTGACTCTTGACGCCTTTGGAGGAGCCGCGGCTCCAGATAAGCGTGCCATAAATGTCCAGATGAATGCAGGACTCTAGTCTCCTTCGCTCCGCCCTTGCTTTTGATCCCCCTCGATCTTGGGGGTGGGGGTTCAGAAGGCACTGTTGATTCCCCTCGCCCAAAAGCAGAAAGATTTCTTTCGACTGGGCGTTTCATAGGGTCGAGGATTTTTCTCGAAGGGGCTTTGTGGCTCTTGATGGTTTTGGTCCAAAGCAATTTTTTGCTATTAGTTTGAGCTTCTGGGGTTTCGCGGTTTTTTGGGGATTCCCTCTCTTCTCAGCAACTTTCTCTCTCCCTCTCTCCCCAAACACCTACTTTATTCTGCAATGCTCTTAAAGAGAGCATCACTGTGTTTTTATGTTGCTTTAGAGTAACTGGTAGCAAGTGCTGCTTTTTTTTCTTTTTCAAGCCTTCTGCTGCTCAGGTTTTCAATGATGGAACATTTGGGCAAGAGACTGGAGCAAAGATGTGGGCATTTGCAAATGGCAACACCACTGCTTGGCTCGGGAAAGGCAAAGGCAAAGATATACCGTAGATGCAATAGAGACGTCTGTGTGTGCATGTGAAAGAGAGACAGTAGGAGAGAAACAGAGAACTGATAAGAACATGTTTTGTTTTACTGGACCAATGACTTTATACAAGTTTCAGGTGCCATCAAATTTCCTTTGTGCTGAATGGAAGTAGTGCAAACTACTCAGCTCCACTCAGCAAAGCAGACATAAATATGGCAGGATGAAACTGCCCTCTGAAAACAATAGATGCTTTAGGAATAGTTCCGTGTTACTCAGAAGCTTGCCAGCTCTCACAAAACATTGACAGGGCCAAAGACAATGCAGGTGCTTGTGGGATCTCCTAAGGCAAATCTCTAGGAAAGTCATCCTGAGCAAGCCCCACTGACAACAGTAGAGGTCTCACACGTCTCCCATTCATTTTAGAGGAGCTTTTACAAGATATTTTCCCAGTGGAATATTCTTTCATGTCCAGGGCCCACCCCCCTGCAGCAACTGCCTGTCTCAATCTCTCTATGTTTGTGTGTGGAGAAATGGAGAGGTACAGCTAATCATCCCCTGGTAAATCTACACAGGGAGCTCTTTTTCCTTGTCTTTCCTTCCCTTCAGCCAGTAGCAGTTTGGAGGAGTTTGTTTTGGTCCAAATGAGAAATTAACTGTGGATAAGTAAACTGAGCTGCCAGAGGGCGACAAGATGTTGAGTGAATTGCTTTTAGATGAAACAAATTAAGGAAACGAGGGGAGACAATCTGCTTCTTGCATTATTAGACACGGCTTGGAGTTCAGGGGGGAAAGTGGTGTATTTTTGAAATGCTAATTCCTTAAGAAGTGGGAGGGATGCACCTTATTTACTGCTCTATGCGAACAGCATGGGAATTCAGGCTGCTGGGTGTATTTTTTTGTTTTGGTACGCTACCAAAATAAAAATAAAAATAAGGAAGCAGATTTTGTTTTGAGTTCTTTTCTCCAAAGAAATCGCAAGAAATTCTCCCTGTGTGTTTGGTTAATTTTATTGCTTGAATAATATATGGACAACCCCAGTCTCTGAGATTTATTTAAAAGAGGAGTGCCGCCTCATTTCATACTGGGATGTTTCATTATTTTTAGACCCATTAGCAAAACATTTAAGCCTACTGTTCTTGGAGACAAAAATCAAATAGGAAAGGAAACCCCTTTTACGGGGCCAGTTCTCACTGGTGTTGGAATCTTGTCCATCAAGGGAGATGGGTCCAGTAAAAAGGTATTATCTTACCTAGTTTCTTGAATTATATTTATGGACTGAATGGAACTGGGACTTAATGGAAGTTTTCAGGTTGTAAATTGTCCTAAGGAAAACTATAGCGCATTGAAATCTTTTAACACGATTAGGATCTGGCTGTATGTTGGCATAAATCCTTTTGGTCCAGCTAAAATGGACATGTGTGGGATTATGTTGCATGTTGTTTACGAGTGCAGATCTCACTGCTCATGCTTCTCTGCAGCACCTTTCTTTAAAAATTAACACCATCACCATAACCTCCCACACATAGTAAAGTGATTGTTTTGTGTGCTGGACAGATTTGATCAGGCATTCTGGTCCACACACATTATGTTGCATTGTTTAATTTGGATCTCTGCCTAAGGCATACAGGCCAGCTATTTTTCCTTCACGATTTTAAGGTGTCTCCAAACATGGTTGACTAAATCCAGATAAATGTGAGGTTCTGATTACATGTGAGCCAGAAGCCAGATAATCATATTGGAACTGAGAGACAAAATATAGTCAAGAGTAAAAGTTCGATTTAATTTTAAGGCAATAAGGGGGCTGTGTTGTCTTTGATCCTCTTTTTAAAAGAATTCCCGTTTTTATATACATTTGTGGTTCCTGTGAGCTTGAAATGACAGATAGCCTTGATTATATTCGGTCCATTCTGCCCAAATAGGGATATTTATATTAGTTGCAATCTATTGCATTTCCCCAGTAGGCCTAAAAGAGTTTAAACCTGGCTTAGGTAAACAGTTGCAAGCTAAATGTGAGAGCCATGATAAATCTCAACAGACAAAGATGTGAAAAAGTTTGGCAAATGCTAGCCTTTTGATTTACATATACTGCGGCTTTCCATTCTGTTCTTATAGCACGAAGCTTCCTGGCATACTGAGAAAGAAGCAGAATATTCATTCTTCAAATCATTGTTTTAGGAAAACTTTTTCTGGTGTGTACTGTTTTCCTCTTTTTACAATTCTACTGAATTGTTGTTGTTTTTGTCCATGAATGTTACTTTGGTCTTTTGTCTATTTTTAGTTAACTGATCCTCTTGTATTTCCTTCTGTTAGGCTTTTTCCATTGGCAATTGCAGGATATTAATAATTCTACTTATTTTTGCACAAGCCTTTCTTCTCTGTTAGCCATAGTTGAAATATCATTTCTTATTCCCTCTGTGTTTTGCCTCTTGTTCTTTTCTTGCTGGCTAACCTTCCTTCCTTCCCCTTATCAACTGTCTTTCCTTTTCGTTCGGTCGTTGCCTAGTCTTTCCCTCCGTGTTATTTCTTCTCTAGGTGTCTTTGTTTTTTGCCGTTACTAGAGTTAATGACCCTAACCCACCGTCTAGTTTTGCTAGAGCGCCTAGACTTTAGGTGTGTAATCCTTAGCATGTTTTCTTAGAAATAAGCCCCACTGTGTTCATTTAGCTCCAGGGAAATCAGTGTAGTATCGAGCTGCATGTCACAAATTTTTCCTTTTTTTAAACATAAATAAATAAATAAATCACAATATGTAAAAAATAACTTACAGTAATGGAGCCCTTTCCTTCATAATCTGATGTAGTCCAACTCTAGAATCCATTGATACTTAGCTGCCTTTAGGTTTCACTGTGTTTGTCTGACTGACTAGATTGTCTTGAATCTAAACCCTTCAGTTTAACTGGATGGTGGATGGAGCCTGAGCTGCTCTCTATTTACCCATCTCTGAACAATCTGATATGGCTGGCTGAGTGGACAATCACAAAGCTATTCTGCTGCCCAGATTTATTCCTGAAAGAAAATAAAATGGCATCGATCCAGGGTCACTTGCTCTTTAGAACACTGACTCCCAAGGCCGAACTGGTCCTTAACAGGATGTTGATGCCTCCCCTGGGCACAATCTCTTATAGCTTCTCCTGGCTCCAGAGGGAAGAAAGACACTTTAGTTAAACAGAAGTGTTTTAATTGTAAACATTTGCTGATCCATTGTCGACCTATTATCTCATGACGGATGCATCCTCTGAGAGGAGGTCACTGCATTAAGCTGCAGTCCACAAGCAGCCTTGCTCTGTATGACTGCTGGTGCCGCCTCACGTTCTCAGTGAGAGTTGAGCGGAAGTGTTTCAGAGCGGGTGGCTCCTAAACTGGAGAACTGTACACCTTGGGGGGAAATAAGGGGCACCCGTGCCTCTCCCATGCATTTCAGAGAACCTTGCACGGGAGATGATCATGGTGGAATTTGGCCAGCGGCATATGTTGGATGGTGTGTCCAGCAGGGGAGAACTTTCACCTTCAGGGGCTCACGTTGCCTAATTTCATGCAGGGTGGGGTGGGGAGAAACCTGAAATGGGTGGAATGATGGGAGGAGGAGAAAAGCCCTTTGCAAGCCTTCAGTCCAGACTTCCAGCAAGAGTGATTTGTCCATTCTCCAGCAGGGAGAAAGAGGCAAAGGAAAAAAAAGAGAGTGAGAGAAAACGAGTGCCTGCTTGCTTGGGGCTCCAGCCATGCCCATAACAGGCTTTGACCCCTCTTACCACCAACTCTGGCCTGGCCTGCCACCAGCATGTGGCCCCTGGCAGAAAAAAAGGTCCCCAGCCCCTGCGGTAAGCTCTGATCTGAAGTCCACTAGTGTTGCCTTGGAGATAAGCAGGACCAGAATTATGAGCCCACCTAAGTGTGTTGATGGGCTGCAAAGAAGTCAGATCAGTTCCAGCTGCTTGCCTGGAGAGAACCGTTACTTGCCCAAGGTGAACAGCTGATGGAAAGACTGCATTAAAGGAGGAAAATTTCAGTGATCAGAGTGTTTGATTTGGATCATGGTTCCTATTCTTCTTCACCCATTGCAGCTTAGGACTGCAATACCTCAAGGACTGCCTCTCCCCATATAAACTGACCTGGACTCTGTGTTCATTATCTGAGGCCCTTCTTTGTGTGCCTCCTCCACAAGAGGTCTGGAGGGTGGCAACACGAGAACGGGGCCTTTTCTACAGTGGCTCCCCGTTTGTGGAATGGTCTTCCCATGGAGGATTGCCTGGTGCCTTTGTTATATATATATTTTTGGCACCAGGAGAAAATGTTCCTCTTCAACCAGGCTTTTGGCTGATTAATATTCCACAGCCTTTTAAATGTGTCTGTGGGAAGGGGGACTATTGTTTTGTTGTTTTTGTTTTAATTATTTACTTGGGTTTTTATCTTGCATTTTATTCTGTGAACCACCTTAGATCTTGTGATGAAAGGTGGCATATAGATTTAATAATAAATAAATAATAGCAAGAGTTTGCCATGTGTAAAATGAGAACTGGGGATCAGAGTAGAGAGAGACTGTGAAACCCCTTGTGTATTAACAGCCTGATCTCAAACTCAGGTGTGTCTTACCCTGTATGGAATTGGGCTTCACAAGATAAACATTTGGAAGACCTCCAGAGATGTTGCATGATAGCTGGGGTTGATGGGAGTTGGAGCCTAATAACACCTGGAGGACCAAGGATTCCCCACCCCAGTTCTGAACAATAGTGCTTAGCAATTAGACTTGAAAGTTATATTGTTTTTTATTTCTTCTAATTGAATTTAAACTTTTCAAGAACATTGGGAACACTGAATAGATTTACTGGTTAACCTGAAAAAGTGGCATAGCCTGCTCTCCTTTAGCTTCAACAGTGGCTTGATGTGAAGATTTTCAGAAAATGGTGATAACCATTATCTTTTCTGCATCATGCAGTTGCTAAAAGCACAGCTAAAGTGGTAAAATGGTAATCTCAGTACCAGGACAGGAATTTTCCACTAGATTAGAGAAAATTTTCATTTTGAAGAAAACCTTACAAGAATGGCTAGTTTGTATGAGAGAACCAGCAACAACAGTTAATTGCAGTATTCTGCTCTTGTGGCTTTAGAAGAAGAAGAAGAAGAAAAAGTGAGGTTGTTTACTCCTGTGGGGGTGGGGTGTTCTGAAATTCCTGGGAAATGAAGGTTCCAGGGTATGCCAGGAGTCTCCATGATGCACAAGGCTCCCCACTTCACAGTCACCTTGTGCTGCTCCTGCCCTCAGGGGCAACATCTCCTGCCAGAAGAAGGCTGTGGAATTTGGTCCATACTTCCTCTGTTGATGGGCAGCTGGTGGAATCAACCAAAATGCTCTGGTGGGCTCCTCAAATGTTCCTGCCCATTTTTTCGTTAAGCTGTTGGCAGATCACTCAGCAGCTCTTTTGGTTCTATATTTATCTTTGAAACTATATTTTCCTGGGACGCAGACTGCACATTAAGTAGGGTAACATCATGAAGTGAGTTTGGAGTGAGGACTGTCCTTCCTGCTCTCCCTCTGAATGGGCAAACATAGTTACCCCTCCCTTTGCAGACCCCCTTTTAAAAAAGGTAATCCCTGACCATTATTACAGCAGGAGAAAGCTTTTGTGAAAGTTGTTCCCTCTACAGCTTCAGCTGAGCCCTTTCACCATTTTAAATCCAAGAACTACAGAGCTGTTGAATAAGTAAAGCCAAGTTAACTCTGCACAGTTTGAAGTATCCAGCTGCTCTGTCAAACAGTGCAGTTAATTTTTTGCATGTGCTTTCCCCTTCCATAACAAGGAGACGACTTTATCTGATATATTGGTTAGCCCATGTTTCCTTCAGAGGACTTTTCTCTGTCAGGTGGGGCCTCTTGGCAAGAGCTTCATCATGGCACAGCTTCATCATGGCAATTTTTTCTCTGTCAAGTTGATGTCCTTTCTTTGGGCTGGAGCTAAACATGACATCCAAGTGCTTTTGTGTTAATGTTGTAAATACTTGCATTTGGAGCTGTATTCCAAATATGGTCGTATCCTGAATGCTACTTGTGATTAAATATTGACATTTATTTTTGAACTCTTTTTAAGATGCATGGCTGTATTTAGAGTATTGGTCTGCCAAGAATCAGCATATAGACATTTTCCATTGAGTTTCATAAATACTGGCACATATTTTCAAGATCTAAAAAAGTAAAGCTTGCCAACTAATATTGTTTCATCTAAAGAGGGAGTGTGGACCAGGTAAGCTGTTGTGGGTCACCGTTCACTCAGTCGACACTGATTCCTTTTAGAGAAAGAAACGCTCTTGCACAGTGCTCAGGCCTTTTGCGTTGTCACATGTTTGATCTGATAACAAGGAGATCATTGAGCAAATGATGGGTGCAATCCAAGTGTGCTTCAGACCCATTGAAACAAGTGGGATTTAAGGGCTAACTGCCTTTTGCATTCTACCCTGTGGTCACTGGGCTATATATAGTTTGGCTTGGCAAGGGGAGGAGATCATTTGAAACTCGGGTTTCAAGCCTTCAGTGTGCAGCTACAAAGAAAATATAGCAACTGGTGAGTCAGACTTTCCCCCCACCTTCAGTTTGATTCAGGTTGCACAAAACCCTCCGAGGGAACAGATCAGATGAGGCAAAACAAAATATGTCGCTCTGTTTGCTAACAAGGAGAGACTGGTTTTCAAAATGACAAGTGGGACTTGCAACAAAATGATGTGGCGTATTGCCACCCCCGAGGAATGCTCTTGTTCAGGACTTTTACCAGCCTAGAATAGAAGCCTTGTAGTGCTGTTCAAGCCGCCCAGGAGGTGGGGGAGAGGTGGAGGGGAAAGGACACACTATTTAAGGTGCTCACACTAGTATTTAAAGCCCTAAATACTGTGTCTGAAAAACTGCCTCATTCCCTTCTCCTTTCCTACCTCTTTCCCTCTCTGATCTTGGTACTTCCACTGCCCCCAGAAGTTTTGGGGTTAGGGTGTCCGGGGCAGAGTATTCTCTGTGGTAGTCCCTAAATTGTGGAATATGCTGAAAATACGCCTCTTTATCCTGGCCATTGACTCTGTCTATCTTTTGGACCCACTCTAATTGTGATCATAATTTTTAAAAATATGTTTTTAATGCTGTATTTTATTTTTCTGTAACATGCCCCTCCCCCCAGGATCCTCTGATGTAGGATCAGTAATAAATTTAGTAAAATAATAGTAGTAGCAATGCACTTCCCAGGGTATTCCCTGAATAGCTCTGTAGACACCCATCAACATTGCTTATTATTTATGTTTCCAAAAGGCACCACATAAGACAGGCAGCAAAGAACTGTAACTTGACCATGTACTGGGAAAGAGTTAATTGTCCTGTAAAAAGTTTGTTGTTGCCTAGGGACCAGTATTCACACAGTCTGCTTATATTTGCTTTATGCAAACAGAATATGGCACTAGCTATTAACTTGCATTACTTTACTTGCACTGAGTGCCATAACTAGAGTTCAAGAGGTAGTCAATTCCGATATGAAGGACTTAATTCAGGAACTATGGATGAATAAAATAAACCTCTCAATAAGAAGACCAACAATTACATAGTAAGTTTATAGGAGACAACAGGAAACACCCTGGATTTGTAAACACTTCAGAAAAATAACTAATATGAACCAGTGAGAATTTAAAGTCCCAATATGCTGGAACTTCTGGATTGTACACAATCCCATTTATGATCACAATCATGAATGTACATAATCCCATTTATGTCCGGTTGATTTCAGAATTCTATCACATAGAATTAAATGTGGCTTATTTGCACATAACTACCGTCTGTATCTGGAATCACAGTGGCTGTAATTTTAAGCTAAATAGATTTGGAGTGGGAAGGGATAGCAGTGATGAGGATGGATTTAGCAAACGGTTGGGGAAATACTTCACTCGGGTATTTATTGAGCCTCCATCCTGATTCATTTGCAGGGAGATTGGACGGCATTCATCAAGCAAATGTAACCCCCCCCCATTTCCCCTTGTATTTCCCCATCACCTTCCTTATCGCAAGAAGTGCAGGTTTGTTGCACAAAATCTCCAAATCGACTCTGATTGCATTACTGGAATTTGCTGGTATGTGATAGAATCCCACCCTAAAATAGTAACAGTCTGGAGGTGTCTTCCCTGTCAGGACCCTCATCCTCAAGCAAAAAACAAAGCACTTAGCTCATGCTCTTTGTAATTCTCCTGCTGGGGGTGGGGGCTGTGCCATTTCCCTTGTCTCCCCTACTTGCAAATGGGGTTGCGGTATTGGCAGGAAACACCTTTCACCCGGGGCAGACTTTGGTCATTTTTCATAACATAGCACCCTGTGCATGGCCAAAATTTGGTGCCCCCAAATGGACCTTCTCAGTTATGGAACTTCTCAATGTTGTGCCCCCTCAGCTCAGTACCCTGTGCGGGGGACCTACCTGCACTGCCCTAAATTCAGTGCTGCCGTGTACCCACTGGACAATGAATTGTTTTAAAGAAAAAAGCCCTCTTTTCATACTATGTTTTCAGAACACAGGGGTAATTCATAGGAGTTAAACTCTGCTTAACTGTAGAAGGAGCCCTGAGAGCAATTAATGGATGCTTTTCTTCTCATCTATTCATTGTAAATTGTGTTTGGAGGAAAGGCATTCTAGCTAGGAAACTGGGTTATTGCACAGTCTGTACTGGAGTATTTTGTACATGTTTAGGTGCATAGTACTTCACCTGTGTATGTCTTAGAGGAAAGGATTAAACTAGTTATTGTCAAGAGAGGTCAATATTGTGCCTGTGTGTACACATGGAAGGCCCTGATTCACAGAAAATGAATTGGTGACTGATGTGTATGACAACTTTCCCCCACTGCCATCTACGTGCCCCAAATGCAACTGGCAAGGAGAGCCATTTGTGGAAGCCTGTTGCTGCTTTATGTTGCTGTCAGTCTGCATAAAAGGAAAGCTGTTGACTTGGCCGGCCATAATGGTTTGTTTGGATTTTTTTCATCGCTCCCACTGTGTAAATACTTTTAAAGCTGGATAAACACAAATTAAATTTTGAAGTAGACACCACCGTTTAGCTGTTTGACTGGCTACAAATTTGGAAGGACAATGCCTTTTCAGTGGAGTGTGTATTTGTCTTACACGTGAACTTAAACAGGCTTTGGAGGATTCAGCCAACATAATTCATGAATACCATTTTGCAGTCGGCGTAGGCATTTGAGTTGTGCTGGCAACCTTGAATCCAAATTGTGCTCTGTAGATTTGAAGACCGCATTAATAACTGTAGAGTGCTTTGATATATTGTGCAGATAATGAATCTCTTGTGGCAGGACCCTCAACCATGGCAGCTAGAGGGCCTTGTCAGGGTCTTTGAGATCCCCAGCATGACCCTGTTATAATCTTACCACACTCCACACAAATTATCCGGGATGGAAGGGGTGAAGGGCTGACACACCACTGGGTGCTACTGTAGGCCATAGCACTGCTTCCCCATTCCATTTAAATTAGCAAGGGTCAAGAGGGTGGAGAAGTGAGAAATTTGCAAGCCGATGAGGAGGGGAGTAAATTTCACATTATTGTCTAGGATTGCTTCTAATGCCCAAATAGGAATTTCTCAGAATACTGACAAAGCAAATTGGACAATATTGTGAAAAAAAGAGGAAACTTTCCTTGCAGGTTAAAGAATTTTATTTGTTTTATCAATATTGCTGCCCTCTTGCCCCAGTGCTGTCCAGTTAAGCTGTAACACGGCTGTGGGGAGTTGGGAGTATAACTCCACAGCTCTAGCCCATCATACTCACTGCTACTGCATGACTGTCAAAAAGAATATTCAAATCAGAACATTATCTGACCTAGCAAGGCAGAAGCTAGCTGGAATAGAAAGCCAGCAGAAAACAGAAGGAGGGGAGACCAGGTGAGCCTCATGGGGCAAGGTTCTCCACAGCCTGGATGCTGACGCACAGATAGGGTCTTTTCTCAGGCCCCTACCGACTTCTGCTTAATTGGTCTTCAAATGTGGCATTTCTGTAACTCCCTGAACCAGGCTGGCATTCCAAGGAAGTTCTGTTCAAGGTTTAGGCTATAGTTCGGCAGAGATGCAAAGGAGAAGACTGTTAGTAAGGTAGTGAAACAAAACTACAATGCATCAGGGGTTGGAGGGGGTCTGGGCAAAATCCTCAGTAGGCACCCTGCAGCGATCAACACGCCCCCCCCCCCAAATAAGGAGGCATATTGTACAGGGTTTTAAGTAGGGAAGGTCAGTGAATTCATAATCTTCACCCTTCCATTTCACCCAACTTTTCTGTGAAAGCTTATTCTCTTCCAAGGTCATGCAGAGCTTGATGGGTGGTTGCCCCTGGATGTCGTGTCAATTTGGGAACAGAGCGTCTCCCCACCAGTAGGAGAGAGTCGGTGTGGCTTTTGCCCTCCTAGGTGTGTGGCATCATACTGGGTTCATAAGGAAAGGGTTAACTAAGTGTAAAATGACTAACCTTAAAAAGCAGAGACGTCACCTTGCCAACAAAGGTCCGTATAGTTAAAGCCATGGTTTTCCCAGTAGAGATGTATGGAAGTGAGAGCTGGACCATCAAGAAGTCTGATCACCGAAGAATTGATGCTTTTGAATTATGGCGCTGGAGGAGACTCTTGAGAGTCCCATGGACTGCAAGAGGATCAAACGCATCCATTCTTAAGGAAATTAGCCCTGAGTGCTCACTGGAAGGACAGATCGTGAAGCTGAGGCTCCAATACTTTGGCCACCTCATGAGAAGAGAAGACTCCCTGGAAAAGACCCTGATGTTGGGAAAGATGGAGGGCACAAGGAGAAGGGGACGACAGAGGATGAGATGGTTGGACAGTGTTCTCGAAGCTACAAACATGAGTCTGACCAAACTGTGGGAGGCAGTAGTAGACAGGAGTGCCTGGCGTGCTCTGGTCCAGGGGGTCAAGAAGAGTCGGACACGACTAAATGACTAAACAACAACAACAAAATGACTAACCAATAGGAACCCAAGGGGAGGAGTTAGAGTTAGAGTGGTTAAGAAGTCAGTCTGGAGTTAGAGAAGAGAGAGGGAGGATAAGTCTGTGGGTTGGACTAGTCTGATGTGAGAGAGTGAGAGAATCTGTTAAGAGGAGTCAGTCAAATAGTTGAGATAATAAGTCAGAAGGTATTAGGAAGTTATAGGCCGGTAAAGAAACTAAGGTTAAGAAACTGACAAGAAAATTATCTGAGAAACCATAAACTTGATAACACTTATAAAATAAACTTGTTTAATGTTAACAACTGTCTGGACTCAGTGTGTACCCGAGAGTAACAGGTTGGTGTCAGCGGGGAAGCGAGCACAGTGGTGGCACAGGGATCAACAGACTGTCAAACGTCCGGGGACCCTGTGTGATCACCATAGTCAGTATAGTGTAGTGGCTAAGAGACTGATGAATGAGGAAGTCCCTAGTTCAAGTTTTGCCTCAACTCACTAGGCGGCCTTAGGCAAGTCACTATTTCTTAACCCCATACAGCAATATGGGGGGTAATCATGACTGTCATACATAGGGTTGTTACAGGAATTACAGCTGGATAATGCGTTTCAAGCACTTTGAATATTTAATGCTGTGCAAATACCCTCCTCCTCTTGTGTCTGCTTAGCTCTGGAGCGCTAGGCGAGCCGTAGACTGGCAGGAGTAGCCATTTCATACCTAAAGTTTGTGTCAGTAGGTTTCCAGGCCACATCTTGTCCTGCCAAGTTTCTGGCATAACCACATTAAAATAAGATTTTTTAAAACAAGAAGTAGACAGTTAATGAATTCACACCTATGAGATCACAACCTCATTGAATTAAGTGAAATTATTTTGCCTACTAATGAAGCCCTATTACAATTACCATTTCAATTGTGTGAGGGAGAAAACAGGGTTGCACTTAGTGGTGTTGGAGAGAGAGATTTGGAAGAGAGATTCTTACTCTTTGGTAGCAGAGGTAGTACAAGTACATAAAAACTTGGTTAGATTTGTATCTGCCGTCATCCTCCTTTAAACAAACATTCCCCATAAAAATATTTAGGCTAGAATAAATCATAGACGCTTACCTTTGCAAATAAGTGAATCTTTTACTCAGAGTTTCCAGAAATTACAGCAAGCAAGTCTCCATCTGCTAGCAGTAAAATGAAGATGAAAAAAAAAGAAGGTTCAAAACAACTTCAAAATAAAAATAGTTAGTTTGTTTATGAAAAGGATTGTGCAGCTTTTGGGTTAGCAAAGATGCAGGCTGTAAAATCTCCCTTTTGGAAATATTCAATTCACCTGGTTTTTCTTGCAGCTAGAAGAAATTGACCACATGGCTCCTTCTTGTTCCAGGAAGCAAGAAAATAAAGAGAAGGGTAGGGGAAACAGAGGCTGCTGAGACCCTGCAAAACCACATCCACTCTGGTAACTTGAGCTTAGGGGTCACTTTAACCATTTCATGCACATATGTGTGAGTCAATAACTGTATATTACTACAGGTGGCCCTTGCCCCGCTATCATAATGTTGCTGACTATGCCCCATTGTTGAGGGAAAGCCTGAGGAGGGAAGTCTGCTCTCTGTGTGCAGGACTCCCCCTTATGATTTAGAGCACTCTCCAATCAGGGTTCTAAATCAGGCACCCCCAACCTGCGGCCCTCCAGAAGTTTTGGCCTACAACTCCCATGATCCCTAGCTAACAGGACCAGTGGTCAGGGATGATGGGAATTGTAGTCCAAAACATCTGGAGGGCTGAAGGTTGAGGATGCCTGTTCTATATCATACAGCGTGTTTCCAGGTGTCCAGCAGCCCCCCTTCTTCAGACATTATTCCAAAACATAGACAGGTGGGGGAGGGACTAGCAAGCAGGGCCCTGATCTTGCCCTTGCAAAATTATAATGTAAGAACATAAGAAAAGCCTGCTGGGTCTAGTCCAGCATCCTGTTCTCACAATGGCCAGCCAGATGTCTGTGGGAAACCAGAAAGCAGAGTGTGCATACTGGGCGGGGTGGGGGGGTGGGGAGAGCTGTGCTGCGTTGCCAGCGGCCTTTCCCCTTCCTCGGTCTTTCTTCCTGGCCTTGCAGGAGAGGGCAGGGGACTACGCCCGGGGCTGGGGCTGCTTTGCCGCACTCCTGGTGCTGTTTGCCCCATGCTCCTGGCTGCGACTATAAGCCACACTTTTCACGGTTAGAATTTGGGGGAGAGGTGAGGCTTATATTCAGGCCAATACGGTATAATTGCTTGAGGGTGAAGACCTGAACACACTTCCTGGTGCTTCTAGTTGTACTGACTGCAGTGAAAGTGGTAAAAATGACAATATGCTAGTAATAGTGATATTTACACTGTTTATTTTTGTTTGTTATTCCCTGACAGATTATATTTAGACTGTTTCTGATGCTTGTTTGTTCACAATCCACTCATTTTCCTGTGTGTCGCATGCCGAAACTTGCCACATTTCTGTGTGTGATTAAGTCAGATCCGTAGTTACATCTGTCAGGGCTGTTATGAAGACATAGCAGAATGTCAATCCCTTCAGCTCACTTTCTGGTTAATGAGATATGTGCATCTTTTACCCTAGTCAAACGGCACGTTAGCACATGAGGAGTTTCTCATCATGTGTGCTATCATTTCCTCTTTGTGTGGAAAAGTTTGCTGCTAATGATTTGGTTGTGTTGGGTCCAATTGGCTTTGTGACTGTGATCTTTCTGTAAACCTGAAGCCATTAATTTCCCACTCACTCACTCAGTCTGACTCTCTCAGCTGCTTGCTATTCCACATTTTAAAGAAATCTTTTTTTATACCATAGTACTGGAGATATGCAAAATACATACCTTTATTTCATGGGGATTTTCAGCTCGAGGTCCTGTCCCCTCATTGTTGGGATGTAACCTTTCAGATGGAGATGGTAAGAGAAGACCTAGCACAGGTTAGTCAGAAAAGTCATTCAATTGCTGGCGTAGCAGGGATGGGTATTCCGTGGCCTTCCAGGTGGAGTTGGATTCCACCTCTCATCAGCACCAGCCAACATGGCCAATAGCCATGGCAACTGTACTCCAGCAGCATCTGGAGGGTCTCAGGTTCCCCATCTTTGCTGTAGTATCTGTCTTCTGCCACATCACTGCATATGTTTCACATGACAAAGAAATCTGTTGTCCAGATTTAGAGAGTAATGTCAGAAACATTCCAATTTCCACTGTGCATGCGGACGATTTCATGGGTCCATTGGAAGGCAGTGATAGTGAGTCTGAGGATGGCAAGGGCAATGGGATGGAGTCTCGTTCAAGGTGGCCAGCTGAGGTGGAGGATTCCTCTTAAGAGCTGGGTTCCCTCTAGAATGGAAGAAGCCCTCACCCAAGTCTTCATCTGCTATCAGTGGTGCTTCCGTTTTCACTTTGCCGGGGGGCACAGGCAAGATTCCTGTCTGACTCCTCTCATGAACTGAGAGTGACCCTCCAGAATGCAGGCCAGAATCCAGCACCCAGAGAATTTGGGATCATGTTCTGTCAGGTGCTGCTGCTGTGGCTGAAGAACTCTTCAGTCCCCCATCCCAGTGGTCCAGATCCAGTGCATCTGCAATTACCCACTTAGCAGTGGGTCTGAACAAGTGGCTTTCTCAGAGTGGGATTGTTGAGGAATGATGTGTGTTTAGTATATAAAAGTATGATAGTATTTAATATGATAGTATAGATTTCCCTCACTTGCCTCTCAAGATGTTAATTACCAGTAAATGACAACCTTCACCAAGTTTCTGACATTTGCTATAATGTAATACATACTTTAAAAAACTTAATATCTCAATAAAGGTACTAAGTGGCTGATCAAATAATAGCCTCATTTGCAACACATGAATTGTATATTAAAAAATTAACTATCCAAGTAATGAAAGAAAATGGTTTGGAATGCTAAATAAATGATTCCAAAATGAATGAGGGAGGGGAGTTTATACAAAGATGTCTGTAGATTCCTGATGCCACACAGTTTACTGTCCAATTTCATGTTTTGAATCTGAACAAACATACATCTCTTTAACTAGAGGTTTATATACGCAAGGCATTGGGTCTATCAATAAGCTGCAACTTCTGTGGTCCATGTGTATATTTAATGTGAAGTTAAAATAGCTTAGCAATGCACTTGTTGCACTGGCAGAACATTGTTGCATGCAGAAAAACACAAATGCATTGCCAAAGATTGTTGCACAACAAGAACCGACTGTTGCACAACAAGCTTCCCACTACTGCAATTGTGGCATTGGACTCTTTTGTTGCTCACCCTTTAAAGGTTGCCATTGGCTAGTGCTAGCGGCTCTTGTGCTCATGGACAGAGAACGTTGGCTAAGGCTCATAGACCTTTTGGGCTGAATTCAGCTGGCCTGGCACAGTGTCATGGACCAGGAGTCAGCTTTGCCTGCTGAACAGCAGCCTGAAGGGACAGAAGGTGGAGTGACTCCACCTGCTGCTGATTAGCCTTCAAGGACTCAGAGGAGGAAGCACTGATGAGAACCAGCTGCCTCCAACTTTCTTAACCAGGGTTTCCAGCCTCAGTCAGTAGCTGGAAACAACGTTTGTCATTTTTGGCTCACCTTGCTGTTTCTTGCTCTTCGCTCATCGGATTCTCTGACCCCTGGACTGTCTGACCACATGATCTGCCAGATGCCTGACCTTAGGACCAGACCTGACTTTGCTTACGGACTCTGTTTCCAGGCCTCTCTGAGACCTGGAATGGTTGGCTGGCCTCTCCCTCCACTGGGCTCTACTTATGGCTGTGCAGCACAAGACTGCGACACACACCAGTAGAACCCAGAGCAAGGACTCCTGCTAGCACAATGGGGGTTCCCTCCTGCTCTGCACGCCCCTCATACCTCCCCTAAATCTGCTCTGGAGAGTCAAGAGAACCCCCAGAGCAGCACATAGGGGAAGGATGGGGGGGGGGGAATCATTCTGGCTGGCAAGATGGAATGCTTGTGCTGACAGAATGATCAGAAAAGTGTGGTGCTGAATGCTTCCCAGAAGTTCACTTCAGGCTCAAATGTCCTTTTAAAAAGGCTAAACTTGCAGCCTGGCAGAAATCAAGGGTTCGCTGCCAACCTCCATCCAGCAGAAACCACCATCACCTGCCCTCTCTGTCCGAGTGGCAGCAGCAGGGGTCATATTGTGCCCCGCACATCTTTCCTTCTGCAATATGTGCCTGAAACAACATGGGCCCCAGATAGCTGAAAGGCTGCCCTGCTTCCCTATAGAGCCTTCCAGGCATCAAGAGCAGTGGTAGAACTTTGTAGTTCTACCTCTCGGAAGCTTCTTTTTTGTGGTGGTGGCCTGGGAGAGGCTGTTCTCCATGGCAGCCCAAAGGCTGCGGAATTCCTTCCCCAAAGAGGGAATCTGGTTTCTTTCCTATGCAGCTTTTGCCAAATGCCAAAGATGTGCTGCTTCGTCCTAGCCTTTGACATCTGGGATGTGTGTTTCCAGGGCTCACCCTGTTCCTGAGACGCTAATCTGTTTTAACTGTTTTTAATTCTGAAGGGAGAGATTAGCACCAAAAGCCTGGAGCTGGTCCATACAGCACGGGGGTTATTAAATCTTGTGTAAAGCATCACATACTCTGATTGCACTGTAAAAATAATGTGATATCTAGCCACTGGTCATTGCCACAATTTCTCCAGAGGAATTACATTGTTTTGATCTGTCTCCCCAAGTTTGAATGTGGTCCTCTCTTGACAGCCATTCGCAAGGAAAGTTTACCATTTTTAATCCAAGCCAAATTAAAAAGTTGATATTTCTATTCATTGCTTTGTACCAGAAAGTAATAAAAATGTAATCAATGAAGTATAGGTGGCTGGGCATGGGGAATTTGTGGCAATCCTGAGAGTCCAGAGTTATTTCTATGTCTTTTATAAAGAGGAAAAAATAAAAGATCCTTTTATTTTAGGAGCTAAATTTCTGCACTGAGTGCAAATATCAATAGAACATCAAATGCTTTTCAATTGCTAGCATCCATTTTTAGTAACTACTGTCCTTTGTGATGCATTTAACGCTCTAAAAATGTACTTGCTATTAACTCTGGGGCACAAATTATTGGTCAGTAGATGTAGTTCTTTGGTGGCTGTTAACAAAGTGTAGAGGGTGAAGAGCAATTGCTGAGCAAATCCCTGCAGCTGCACAGGATGACAAAACAACATATGTGACTGTTTAACTTCTTGAAATATA